AAGGATTTCGCAGTCCCAGTCTGGGCTTAATGTTGTAAAGTTTATTGTTTGTTTATATTCCAATGGGTCTCCCACAGACGGGAAGGGTAGTTTTTTACTTTATTTTTAAAGTCAGTCTGTGGGAGAGTGTTCGTCGTTGATCCCAAAAGAAGGGATAAGGATTTCTTCGCCATGTGATCTACCTGCTCGTTTCCTAGGATGCCCACATGGCTAGGTATTCATGCGACGCGAACACGATACTTTTCCCGGTTTCAGTCAAGGCGTATATTTTTTGTTGTAGCCCAACTATTTTTGGATGTAGGAGCGGCGTGTAGTTTGTGAGTGAGGTGATGCAAGACAGAGTCACAAAGGATAAGACAAGATTTGTTAGAATTTCCTACGGAGTCCAGAGCCATGTCAATGGCAGTGGCCTCTGCAGAGAAAATGGAGGCTTCAGGATGGAGTCTCCTCTGGTGTGTACTGTTGGAAGATAGGGCTACGGCGGCCACTTCATTGTCTTTTTTGGAACTATCTGTGAAGATAACCTCCGCACTGGGGTATTTTTCTATAAGTTTTTTGTATTTTGCTTTAAATGTTTTGGTGTTTGTGCTGGCTTTGTCGTGTGTGATGAGCTGTAAATCTACTTTTGCCTTGGAGAGGTGCCACGGAGGTAGGTCGGGGAAAAAAATTTGTTGGATGTCTTGTTTGGAAAATTGTAAGTTTTTGAGGTCCTCAAGGATCCTGAGGCTGAAGGGTTTGATGAGTCTTTCATTGTTTTGGAATTTGTTTATGGTTTCTGGGTTTGTTTTGAAAATGCAGTTGTGTGCTGGGTTCTCTGGTGTTGAGCTCTGTTTGACTGCGTATTGTAGTGAGAGTTGTGTGCGTTTGAGTGTGACTGATGGTATGTTTGCCTCGGACTGGCGCTTTGGCATTTTGAAAAAGAGCTTTTGCCGGCACTGCCGTAGCCAGTTCAAGGCTGTCGTTGAAAGCTCCACGAGGAAAGGAAGTGCTTAAATCAATAACTTGAAGATGCTCGCAAGAAATGTATTACAAAATTCGTGTGGTAAAAAGTTTTGCCGGAATATTTCAACCGGCAAAGAAAAGTACAAAATGTAATAGGAAGCTCCGTATGTGCAAATTGAAGGAAAATAACATTTGTGTTTGGAAAACCTACCTGTTCCCCGTGGTTTTAAGCACCCCGCATAATTTAGCAAAATTTGCTCATTTTTCGCATAATTTCTATTTTCCTTTAACATTCTTTGTTAAAATTAACAGAATCGCATAATTTCAGAACTTTTCTTGCATAAAATGACGGGGTCAGACCTACACTGGTGGGTTTCAAATTTTACCAGTTCTGGTACTGATGGTGGACAAACCACAGTTTTTTACCTCAGCAACAGTGATGGCAAAATCATAATTTTTAAAAAATATATAAAAGTGTTCACTCAACTCTAGACTAAAAGGGAAATCTAATTGTTAACCCTTCTGGCTCGGTTCGCAATTATTCGCCACATCGCGCCCGTGCTCAGCACCAGTTCACTACTAGGCCTATTTACAGCGTGCAGGGGTGTGTCGGAAATCGCACGAACTACTTTCGTTTTCTAGCCTACAGGCCCGGGGTTGAATAACTCTATGCGAAAGCCGATTGGCTGATAGTCATTCTGGTCTTTGAATTTTATGAAAATCGGCCAGAAATTGAGCTTTTTTTGCGCAGGATGTTAAAGAGCACAATCTTCGCATCGAGTTTTGAGCGATAGTGGAGGCAAAGATAAAGAGGCAGTTGTACAGCGCCGAGTGGAGCACCTCCAAAGTTTCCTGTCTGGAGGAGATGGCAGCTGTCGTCACCGAAAGCAACTGCATACAATAGACCACTTCAGATGACCTGGCAGAGGGAACAGATGCCCTCCTCCAAATTCCCGCGCGTGAGAGGAGAAAAATCTATCTACAGTGGGTTCCGGTAACCTTCACACAAGAATACATCTGAGAAGTTGTCAGGACCTTCGCCAAACCAACACGACGATCGACTTCCTCCCCAGGAGGTATGGCTCCGACGACCGACACACCGTCCTAACACGACGACTGACTTCCTCCACAGGAGGTATGGCTCCGACGACCGACACACCGTCTTAACACGACGACCGACTTCCTCCACAGGAGGTATGGCTCCGACGATAGACACACCGTCCTGGCGGAGGCCGACCCCAACGACGTCCCCCACTACGTGAGTATCTCAGGCTGCGGGCTGGACCACCTCAACATCAGGGTAACCCTCCCCGGGCGCCCCATCGCCTGCCTCCACTACGCCCGAGTAGACCATTACTCCAAGAAATGTCCGGCCCGCAGATCAGACAACAGCGACGACGCACCCACCCCGACGACCGCCCCCACCACGACAGAACCTTCCACCTACGCGGACCAACTGAGAGGACGACACCCCCGCCACCACGACGAGGGTACCACACAGCCCCCTACAAAGATTCAGACCGCAAAGAAGACGCCGACAAGGACCCTCTAACCGCCACCAGTAGCACCCCTTCCCCCCCCCCTCGAGGACGGTATGACAAAATTGACAAGAATTCCAAACTGAGCCAGGAGGAAGAAAAAAACACAATAGCAGACAGCTCACACACATTTACAAAAATCCTAGTACGACTACATGACAATGACCGTACATTTTGTCGCCCCTGACTGGAAGCTAATTTCTACAGTTCTCAACACAGTGTTGCTGGAGACAACTCACACGTCTGAAAACCTCGCTGCTAAGATCTTAGAAATTTTTACAGCTTGGGGGATTAAGGACAAAGTGACTACCATTGTCACAGACAACCCAGCTAATATGAAGCTCGCGGTTGAGTTAGTGAGATGTCGACATCAGCCATGCTTCGCCCACACCCTCAACCTCGCTTGTTGTCAAGGAATCCATCAGAAAGACGGATGATGTGTTCCCAGCTAAAACAAATGTGAAAGACATTTTTCATTTTTCCACCACAGAGTCAACGCCAGTAATTCACTCAAAGAAGTCCACAGAGCTAAAAACACGACACCGAGGAAGCTTAAACAGGATATGGAAACTCGCCGGAACAATACCTTCGAGATGTTCACAAGCCTTACTTGGAGCAGCACGAGCAGGTGACCACATCTGTGTCTGAACGGCAAACAAAACATGTGTCTCAGCCCCATCAAGTTGTCAATTTTACAGAAGGTAATGGAGATCTTGGAACCATTACACGAGGCAACAGTAGAGATATCTACAGAACACTCCGTTGCAAAAATAATTCCAATGGTGTCCCCCCTTTGGGCCGTTTGACAGCCCAAGACAGGACGGCCCTCAGAAACTGCCTCAACTCTCAGCTCAATCAGCGTTTTACAAACACTGACGGAAAGACGCATCTGAGGCATGCAACATTGTCCAGGGTGTCCAGCAATATTTCCTGAAAAAATTTACTACCTGGAAAAAAATTGACTACCCAGCAAATCAAGCCCCACACCAGCTCGAAAAAGGGAGTTAATCTGCGCCATCAATAACATATATACATTATTATTACATAACATATGGAACGAAAAAAACACACAACAAAGTCCAGTCGACAAAATGGAGGATAGACAGACGATCGCAAGCTTGCTTGCAACTAGATTTACTTTTAGTGAGGTTTTTAAGGCGCTCGCAACTGCATAGGTGATATGAGCGACAAGGGGTGGATGTCAACAGAGAAGTCCAAACAGGGAATCAAGCTTAGACTATCAAGGCACCCCGGAAATAGTAGTTCACAAACGTGACAAACATACAAAAGTAGAGGAAAATGATGATAGTAAAGAAGAGGACAGAAAAGGCAGCAGTTCCCCCTACGCTGGTCCAGCACAGTACGAGCATGACATTGATAAATCAGCCCATTTACAATTCTACTGTACATAAGAACATGTTAATATCCTCCCTTTGGGAATGGCCTAAAGACGTTTCAGTCAGTAGCACTGCCCTGGTGGAGGTGGGAGGGGGAGGGGGGGATAGATTTATACCTAATGTGTACACACAGGGTGA